CGAACCGAACCAAACTTTTCGGGTATTTAGTAAATGGAACCGTCGGGTCCAAATATATATGTGGAATCATTCGGGTTCGGTTCAGTTCGGTTTAGTTCGGTTCCGTTCGGTTCTGTACTATAATTATATTTTTTAACATTTATAACAACATTATATAAATATAAATAATGACACATTCAATAGTTTTGGAATGTTAGAGACTAGTAGACTACCTTATTCAAATGATCGCTACGGTCAAAATTTCGATCGGTGGAGGTCACAGTTTCGATCGGAGGTCATAGTGTCTACCGGCGATTGTATAGATTTTGGAATCTCAGCGAGGCTGCGAGAGTGAGTGTGAGAGTCGAGACAGTGTTTTGCACTTTAGTGTAGGTGTTTAGGGTTATTTAGTGGGTTGGATCTTGTTGGGCTAAGAAATGAAACAATAAAATAGGTAATTGGGAACAAAATTAAAAAATTAGAAATGAAATAAATTATTGGGCCAAAAATTTGGATTTAGAAATTGTTAATTTGTTTAGAAAAAATTAAAAAAAAATAATTTGATTTATTCAATATAAAAAAATTAGAAAGATTCGGTTCTTCGATTTTTGGTATAGAATCAAGAACCGAACCGTACCCATCGGTTCTCAATTCAGATATCCGTTCGGGTATTTAATTTAACAAGAACCGTCAGGTTCGGTTCAGGATATTTGCCCAGCCCTATATACCGTGCTGCCAAGACACCATTCCTACGGTTTAAGTTTACCAAGTACTGCTTCGAGAGCAACAATTTATCCTTCCCACGTAAGTGGTGATCGCTAGTTAACCTACATGTACAATGTGGTCTGTATTTTAGCTAGTTATTCGTATTTTCTGTAATCGTGTGCTGGACATTTAATTTTCATGTATTTTTATTTTTGGATAGCATGTGCTTGTGAATTTTAATGGAACTATTTGTGTTGTCTTCCTTTAACTAGTACGCATTTTAACTATTGGAACATTTCATGCACGTTTAAAAATTGGGTGCTTTTGCAGGGAATGCAGAGAATATATTCCTTGTAAAAGCATTGCTAAAGTAAGTGTGACATTTGAATTGATGGGTACAAATTTCTCCAAAGGTCCATAATTACTCAAGTTATTTTTTATTATCTATAAATGAGTTAGGCATCTTGTTCACTTTCTCAAACTTAGACATATTGGTAGGCAGCCAAATCTTGTATAAGAAAACCAAATAATAGTTACCATTTTCTAGATTGTTTGTATGGGCTGCCTTTCTTTTTTATATTAGAAATCATTACCTTTGTAACTATATATTACCAAGCATAAAGTGTATGTTCATGGCTATGACTTGATACTTTTGTATACATTGTCAGAAACAGATTGTGACATCGAGTATATGTTTGATTGGGATACAAGTTCTGATGAAGATATGTGGCAACAATTGGAGGAGGACATAATCACGTGGCTGGAATATTGAGGATTTGCTGAGCCCATCGTGTGCAAGTACTTGGCACCAAATACAACATGCCGCTATTTGTTTTGAACAATGCAATACGGTCACATTTTCATGTTACAAAACATGCATGTTTATCCACAAACATGTTTTCAGGAGTTCAGAATGTATCCTCCGATGTTTATGCACTTCACGTATATTCTACTTGACGAGTACGACATTTCAAGCAGCGCAAACATCGATATATACAAATAGGTTGGCATGTTCTTGTGTATACTGGCACATGGAAAAGGATATCATTAGGTTCAAACTCTATTCGGTCAGTTGCAGACCATATGTTATTATTTCAAAAAGGTACTACAGGCATACCTAGCGTTCGAGGCGAAAATGATAAAATCAGATTCGAGGTACAACGAAGGCGTAGCACACCATTACCTGGAACCGGAGCGCTATCCACTATTTCAGGATTGCACTGGGGCAATCGCGGTACGCATGTGAGTGTTGTACTGCCAAGACATCAAAGAGAGAATTTTATTGGTAGGAAAGGGATTCCAACACAGAATGTGTTGGCCGCCTACAATTTCAATTTTTGTTTTGCGTTCGTATTACCAGGGCACACAGGAAACACACATGACAGTTACATCTTGACCCGAACTGTACATTGTTCGGAGGTCAATTTTTCGAAACCAACTAAGGAAAAATATTACATGGTGGACTTCAGGTTCACACATAGGTCTGGGTATATGACTCCGTATAAGAGTTCTGACATTAGATATCAATTTCAAGAATTTCGCAATGTTGGAGATGGGGAACATTGTCGTTTTCGAAATGCACGCGAACGGTTCACTCCTCATGTCGAAACATGATGGAACATGCGTTTGGTGTTTGGAAATAAAGGTGAAAGATTCTTGATCGGATGCCTGGTTACAGTACACGAGCGCAAGCTGCTATGATTGTGGCCACGATGGGAATACACAATTTCCTTCGAAGAAACGAGGGTCTAGATGAGGGATTTCATAGAGCCAAAGAAGTGGATAACGATGAAATTGAAATAGAGCTACTAGATGAAAAGGATGAAATGGCCGCCAAGCGAGATGCAATAGTTGAAGACGATGTACCGTGACAAGCACTGCACGATTATATGGCACATGCGTTATATTAGTAGTTTGAAACACATTCATTTGGTATTTGCGTACGTAGTATATTTGTAATTTCGCTAATCCTGTCGTTGTCACTTGACACTTCACATTGTTTTGTCGTGTTTGAGCATGTAACATGTTTAATATTTCTGATGTTGCCCATCGAAGGAAATTCGGTAGTTCTCGTGGAATTCATGTTAACAGTAGTTTATAAAAATAATTTTTATCTTCTGATTTCAAAATGCACGTGGACGGTAAAAAGTAAGTAGAAGGGAAAAGTTGAAAAATTAATCATTCAAAGATTTGACTTAAAGGTTCAAATGCATGTACCCTCTTCATGGTGTCA